ATGTTATTTATTGTTATTTTTATTCATTGCTATTATTTTCTTTGCACTATTTATTGAATACATTCCGTGTGCCAAGTACCATGCTCAAACCTTTAATATATTATTTTTTATTCTCACAAAACCTTGCAGTATCCATGCTCAGATTTTCTTTTTATAGAATAGGGTCAGAAAGGTTAAGTGTCTTATCCACCATCTCACCAAACAATGAGTGGAAGACCAAACCAGAACTTGTGACCTTTCATGATCTTAGAAGAAAAGAGAAATCCAGGTTTTACAGGAACGAGCAGAAAATGCTGTCCCCATCTTATATCAACTTTGGGTCCTTAACAGTACTCAATCCCCTTTACCCGACCACAGAAATCTAAATCAGGTGTTTAGAAATACGATCATCCCACTGTGTAAGCCAGCAAGGTCTACAATTTTATTTTAGGTACCCAGGATCCTTGGTTTCTGTAATCTGGGACTTGGGCTACACTATTTTTTTTAATGGGTTGGACAGTGCACTTTAATACCTCAAGCATTACTATTTCTCTAAGAAAACATATTCCACAAAAAAATCCACCAAATTCCAGTGGAAAGTAGTTTGTATTGTCATGTTAAATAATCAACTAAACACTGGTAATTGTCATTCCAGGATAGAATAACTCACTTGACTATATATCCTAACTATGCAGACTTGAATTTTATAGAGACACAAACAAGCACTGTGGTTTTTTTTAAGGGAAGGGGGTCAAATTTAGTTCTGCTTTAGAACAAAAATTGACTATATATAGAACAGTTGGATAGAAAAATATTCTCCTAGTTCTTTAAAAACTTTTGATTTCTTTTATCATTAAAGTAATATACAATCACTTAGAAAACCCAGAAAAAGTAGAGAGAAGAAAATAATAATAATTTAATTCCAATATAGCAGATACATATTATAAATATATGTATAGCATGGGAACATACAATGTCATATGTGCAAGCACACACTCCCAAAGTTGCTTTCTATCCATCTTTCATTCTAGATGATTAATAATGCAGGTTTGCAGGCTCCCGCTAGTATCTGTTTATGCTGAATTTCAGTCACAGAAATTATCCTCAGAATCTTCGGGAGGAGGAATTCTCCAAGCGTGCTGTCTACCGTGATACCATGGGGAAAGTCATCCCCTCCAGCACTGCTGACTCCTGCTCAGCTGCAGTCTGGATCCCTGGACTAGCAAAGAGGCATATGTTTTGTTGTAAGGGGAAGAGTCGACCTCTCCCTGCCCACTTTCCCTTTCAGAGGAAGCTTGCCAGTGCTGCTTGTGTGTTAATGGTTTGCAGGACTTGGATGAAAGAGCTTTCTTGGTATTTTTTTTTGAAGTCTGACTCAGAAATGAGTGTCTGCAGACCTGGCTGAGGAACCACAACTTTACAGACTTCACTCTCCAAGGCTGTCTTACTGGGTGGAAGTCTGAGCCTGGTTTCTTATCTCAGGAAGAGTTCTCCAATGAGCATTGGTCGTTCCCCCATGCTGGTGGCTTCTGGGTGAGGCTCACCCCACCAGTCTGTTATGGAGTCTGAAACCAAAGTGAAGATGACATAGGACCTTTTTTTTTTTTTTTTAGGAGACAATTGAAAGTGCAACATAAACTAACATATATAAAGTGATTAGCACATTGCCTGAAGCACAGTGAATGTAGTACATACTAATAATATACCAAGAGATGTTGGCTATGGCCACTATTTTAAATATAGCTTGTCAAAATGTTATCATGTATGCATTTGTCACTATTCTTTAAAGTAGCATTTTAATAAATCTATAATATTCCACGGTATGAATTTAACCATTTCCTATTGTTGAATATGAAGATTGTCTTCACCTTCTATATTGAATTGTTACAAAGAAAAACTTGGGCATAAATCTGTTCCCATATCTGATTTCTCTAGATTTCTAGGACTTGGAATTAGAGGCAAACCTGGACTTAGTTAATGGCCTCACTTCTTTTTGCACTGTCTTGCTGAGTGCACCACTTATGTGCTTCTCAGACCGGCCTCACCTTGTGGTAACTTCTAGAAGAAGCAGGGGCTGTGCTTCCTATTGTGCTGCTGTTTAGCTCTGTTTATATTCAGGTGTGGGTAGGGTGTGGGGGTGGTGGGAATGGGAGAGGGTGATGCTGCAATAAGAATATCAAAGTGGCCTGTCCCTGGGCTGCCACCTTAAGCTGGAAGTCTGCTTTTATCGTTTCCATGGAGGTCTGCGAGCTGTGTTTGTGGGAGCTGTGGGCACTGCTTCTGTAGACTAAATCCTGGACTGAAGTGGCTGGTTGGCTTCATCTGTTTCCACTTTGCTTCCAGTGCCTGTCTGTCCTGTGGTGACCCTGCTTTCTGCTGCCCAGGGCCTGCTCTGGTACCACATATACTTTGTTGTTGATGGCTACGGGGTCAGCCACAGGTGGGTGGTATCTCTCTCCTGGAGTTAAGTGCCTCAGTGACAGGCCTTGCTGCCTAAGGGGAGACAGCTGAGAGAAGAAAAGGGTGTGCTGGGACCCTTGTCACTGGGGTAGAGTGAAACTGACCACCCCTTCCCCTGCTGCTAGTCACTCTTCCCCATCATCTCCAGTCAATGACAGCTATCACAAACTGTATTTGTCACCTGTATCTGCCATTCCAGGCAAACCAAAGTTTTCTGCCTTGTAATAGAAGTACCCATGTAAATATCCTAAAGCCTAAAATATTTACTACCTGAAAGAGTTTGGTGATCTCCGATTTAGACTGAAATAGAAAATTCATACCCCATTTGAATCAAATGTATGATATATGATATGTCAAGATCATTGTAATGTTTTGAGCAACCAATAAAAAAAAGAAATAGTATACTGAGAACTTTGAGATATTTTTCTTTCATTTATAGCACAGATAAAGCCACTTAGTATTGTCAATGTGAATTTGAAAATGAAGTAAGTAAAGGTGTTGAGTAAGCTGTATAATATCGATCAATGTACGTTCTTCCTATTGTTCGTGCCTCATTTTCCTTTTTTTAATGTTTTCTTGCTCTGAAACAGTGAAAGAGGGGGTAGGGGAGGGAGGGAAAGAGATTTTCTGTAAGCATAAGCAACACTAGTATCAGAAGATTTGAATGCCTATTAAATAGGGAGACAGAAACCAGATTACAATGTTGAATGTTCAAGATATTAAAACCCTGTTGTTTATAGTTGTGGGGGAAAATTCTGTGGGGAAAATCTGAGATGATGAATCATTGAAGTTTGAAATTAACTTGTTGGTCTTACCATTAATAACATATAAGACATCCTCAATTTCTATGTGTATTGTACTTGTAATTTGCTTGGAAATTTATTTATTTATTTGTTTGTTTATTTTTTCGGGACTGGAGATTGAGTCCAAGGCCTCACATGTGCTAATCAAATGTCCTACTACTGAGTTGCATCCCCAGCTCTTGGAATTTAATTGTTTGGAATGCACAAAAAGTATAGGAAAAACTTTAATTCACTATATACTATCCGTATGCAATCAAATAGCAGAAAACAAAGGTGTTACCTAATAATAATTACAATAAAGAATTAAACTTAACATCATGGTTGTACTGAGAAGGCATGCTTGTAGAAAGTTTGCTCCGTAAACATAAAGATAGCAATGGCCATTGTGAAGGCAGTGAGGCTTGCAGGGCCATTTTGGGGGTCTTCAGCCTGGAGAGTGGGAGCAAGGATTAGGCCTGGGTGGTGTATAGCTCTGAGTAAGTAGTTTGTGATCTGGCCTGTGGAACTCAGGGAGTGCTTGTATTTTTTTTTTTTAATTTTTATTATTGGTTGTTCAAAACATTACATAGTTCTTGACATATCATATTTCACACTTTGATTCAAGTGGGTTATGAACTCCCATTTTTACCCCGTATACAGATTGCAGAATCACATCGGTTACACATCCACTGATTTACATATTGCCATACTAGTGTCTGTTGTATTCTGCTGCCTTTCCTAT